CATAGAACAGTATTTGCCGTGTCGAAGCGAACATCTCGGTGATTTGTTGCGAAGCGATCGAAACATATGTCGCGTAGCTCGGCATTCAAATTCCATATCCAGTATCAGAACCGACGTACGCACATCCTCGCTCAACCAAGGCGATATAACCATCGCGCTTTGTTGCGATTCAACACGTAAACTATTGTTCTAGCGGACACTGATGGCTGCAAGATAGCGTCACTGAGCAATCATGGCACCTGATCGTACGATATGTTGCCGTCGGTCCATCGTAGTCCGTGACAACGCTCACTTATCCAGCAAATTCTCGTTCTGTCTATCGGCGATATCATGCTCCATGGTATTAGACTCGCGAACAGAAAATGCGACACTGGATGATTCGTACGTAACACGGTAGCCTCCTTTACCGTGAAAGTTCCTTGCGGACCGAAGGTGTAACCTTACACATCTACAAACACCGGCATTTCGTCGATCTACGGACGGAAAAAAATAAAAAATTGTTTCTGATTGTGAAAAAAAAGCAAATCAATAGCTCACCGTGTACAAAGGCCGTTCGATTGACCATTGTTGTTCGTTTGCTCGTTGATCGTTCATAGTGTGCTGCTACTTTGTGCTACTTTGTGCTCGTTTATTCGTTCGGTCAATAGTGCTCGAAATTCGTCACTTTCGTGCCGGTTAAATAGTTTAGACCGACCGATCGTACCGGCTTTCGTGCCGAGCGAAAAGCAGATAAAGAAACGATATCGTTGTTTTTGCATCGCTCGCTTTTCTGACAATCTTATCACTGAGTTTTTTTTCCGCCACTCAACCAAATGACGACTTTATCGCGCGCGTATCAACCGTTTCCGCAATCACGATTATTGCGATCGCGCACGAATGTGAGTGCGCAATGGATGGACGCACTTTTCTCATTCTTAGCGGCGAAGCCACGCTCGGCTGTGAAGTCGTTGGCATTTTCGCTGAGCTTCATGCGAACATATGACGCGGCGCGAAATGTCGCGAATGAAAATTTTGCATCAATGTCCTTTGATGCGGCGCGCGAACTGTTCGATCTACTGGACGACAACATTCACGCCACCGACACGTTCACTTTGTCAGAGTTGCGCGATCGTCGAGCGTTCGATGCGCGCGATTTTCTGCACGCGAACGACGTGTACGCCGATCGTTTCGACAATGTGTTCGTACCGTTAATGCAGCGGCACCGTGTGTTATTGTCGCCCGTTGCTCGATCCACCGCCGCCACCACGAACGACGATTCGTCGATGTCGATCGACTCGTTGCGCTCCGATATCGAGACCGTTCGAGCTGTATTGGTCGCGTTAAACGAACGCTCGGTCGAGACCGGTGTGCCGATCCCGTTGAACGTTCGATGCACCGCGTCACACGGCGGATAAGCGTAGGCGCGTTGGATAGAACGCTCGCCGAGCTAATCGAACAAGGCGATGATCATCGCGCCGCGAAGACACTCGTACGCGAGACATTGCTCGAGACCGTACAGAGCGATCTAGCGGAAATTAACGACCGGTCATCGTTCTCGTATCTCGAGGCGTACGCCGCTTACGCTCCTATAGTGTACCGTTACGAATCACTGAGCGATATGCTTCAGGCGTGGAACACTCGACATTGCGCGCGACACAATAATCGCGATGTTACCATGGAGAGCGCGGACGATGAGAGAATTCACTGGCTCGTGCTACCGGTACGTGGTGTTTGGCAAAGCGGCACGTCTCAGGCGCTATGGATCGTGTTGCACACGTTGACGGCACTGACCGTTCAACGATAAAATCGATACATCGATCGTATGCTCGCGGTGCTCGAGAATTTATCGTTTTACGTATGGTGCGCCGAATGCTCGGTGCATTGGCGCGAGAACCATGGCGATCGATACTTTCGCGAGATCGGATCGCTGTCGTACGCGAAATTGCGCCGATTGCCCATCGATCTGCTGCTGCTGCACTGCCACAACACAGTGCACGAGAATTCCACGAAAATCGTCGGTGCTAGAAGCAACGGTGGTGGACTGTCTAGGTGGACCTTGGCGCATTTGTGCCTGGATTACCGAGATTTTGCGGCGGTATCGCTGTTACGACGAGGCGACGGTTCATCGGCGCAAATTTTTCGTCTGATAGTGTGCCGGCCTATGGCAAACGCCATCGCACGAGCAACAGCAAGCACAACGAGTCGCGGTGGCGACAGAGAACTCACAAAATCCGACGACGTTCTGTTGACCGACTGCTTGACAGTGACATCCATCATCGATGCGAGCGCAGTCAACAAGAAGATAGATTCTGTCTCGCTGACACTCGACGCGTTGCGCGACTATCACGGCGACGCGCTATTGCGTAGACTCTGGTACGATATCGATCCATCGATGACCGTGCCAATGTGTTGCTCGGTATGGTGAACGTGACGATTCGCAACGACAATCATCGTGGGATTTGCGGTCATTGACGCGCCGAGAGTTAACGTAACGTGATGCTATCGTGACATTCGCAAACTTTTTTTCGACGACAATCGTCCGACTCGCTACCGCGTTTACGAGCACGTCCGTAACGTGATTTGTGTTTTTTTTGTTACAATGAACAAAGAGAAACGCTCAACCACGAGCGAGAACGCCGGTCGGAGCGCGATGCACAGTGAATCTCGCGTCGAATCGCTGTGCGGTCGATTCCTCGCTCTCGAGAATCACGTATTGTACTCGCCGAGACTGGCCGCGGTGGTATCGCCACGATCTAATGATTCCATCGACGAGGACCGCATGCAGATCGCGTTACGCGCATTGTTTGACGATTATCAGTATTTTTTGAATTTTATCAGAGAGCTCGAATGTAAACACACCACGGGCTCGTTTCGCACCGAGATGAGACAATTGCGTGCAAACGACGAAGCAGCCACGCGTTTCGTTATCTGCAACGAATACGACAAGATTGTACGTCGATACTGATTGCGCCAAAGGAAGGCGGGGAGGAGATTGACTAGGTTGCCAATAATAAAAAAAAGAGCGAAATAATCACAGTATAAACATTTCTTTTATTGTACATCCTTCTCTAGACATCACATCCCGACGAAAATGTAGCGACAATGTAGCCGCGAGCTAAAATGTACTATTTCTCAGGATCGTACTTTACATGAGCTATTTGCACCAGCGCTAAAACACCACCCGGATCGGTAGCTATGTTGGGCGGTCCGCCTCTGCCCAGACCAGTTGACTTTCCATGATGATGAGATTGACCAGAGCCCAATAATCCGGTCGCACCACCGTACATGTCGTTCTTCGCCATGTCGTCTTGGCGCATAGTCTCCATGACGTCGCTCGGCAGAGCACGCAGCGCGTTGAATTCGGCGCAGTTTTGCAGAATGGACAGATTGAAGAATACGCACAATTGTCGCGGCAACGGTTTACCGCGAAATATCTTGTCGCGCACATAACGGCGCACCAGTTCGTTCAGGTGACCGAAGCGATCCTCATAGGTGGGAAATTTGAGACCTCGCGGAATACGTCGAGCTATCGAAATCAGATAGAATCCGTTCAGATAGGCCGTCCCCTCGACGAAACACATATAGCGAATGCGCGTCATTGCGTACTCGCTGTGTTTCAGCGAATCCAGCACAAAATTCAGCGCGGTGAATCCTCTTGCTGCAATTCTGGACCGAAGCGACAGTTTACCGTTCGCGCGATGCGAATGAGACATCTGCGAACCGCGCAATCCAAGTTGCCGATCAGACACATCAAATGCGCGTCGGCTTTACCGATATCCTCCTCGCAGCACGAAGCGTCATCGTCGCGCAATTGACGATCTCGCTCCACGATCGTAATATCCGTAGCGGCGACCTAGTTCGTCTCGTCCGTCATTTGCGCATTCGTCACGATCGGTGTATTGTCGGAGTGGCGCGAATGCTCGTCGTATCGGGCAGTCAGTTCTTTGAGCGCGTTGGACGAAACGTTCAAATCCACAGCTCGCTTCTTCGCCAAGCGGCACAACCGCTACATGCACCAGAGCGTCTCGTCGACGGCGGCGCGTAGTTTCTCCTTCTCGTCCGATCCATGGCCGAATTCGACACATTTGTCAACATCGAGACGCGACAACAGAGCGTATACGGAACGAACATCGATCATGTCGTCTGACGTCGCTGGCTTACCTCGCAGATACAGATCGTTCAGTTCGGCGACATCGTTGGTGCTCGGTTGCATATCGGCCACTTGATTCCACAGCGAGTCCATATCTTCGATGGTCGGCGTGGTCGCATTTGACGAGAGCAATTTGCGATTGTCGCGCGAACGCGTGCTCCCATTATCCTCTTCGTGCTCAGACGCCTCGTCGTTGTCCTCATCCTCTTCGTGCTCAGACGCCTCGTCGTCGATGAACGAGGAAACATGTCGCACCGGGGAGTCGTCGTTGCATCGTTCTGGTTTTCGCCGCTCGTTGTCGGCCGATGCGCAATTATTTTCACCATCGCGGAATTAGCGCTTTCGCATGATCCGCTGTTCGGACGTGCCACTACCACCACTGACGACCGTGTTTCTCGCCGTTGTCGCATCGGTAGTGTTGTTCTTGTTCATTGAGGAGCGACCGTGCTGTCGTCTTTTGTCGTACGAGGCGCGCTGCTTTCTCGCCACCGGCGAGAACTCGCTCGTCGCATCGTCGAGTTGTAGATTGCCCATTATTGCGCCATTTGCCCAATCGGTCTCGATGTTGCTCATACCGTCGGATTCTTCGAGCGTTTGCGTCTGACGTGTCACTAGTCGACGCTGAGAAGAGAGAGAGAGAATCGTCGGTTAATGCTTGCAAACTGCGAATGACCAGCTTCACGTTTCAGAGCCTGATTTTATAATGCACCAAAGTGGATCGCGTCTCGATTTTTGCACCTCACGCCCAACACTATAAGGTGCTGCATATCGATTGGGGGTGCGTATCGCGTGACACAGTGATCTTTTTTCGGTCGTCTGACAGCTCGGCGTTGCGCCGCCCAATCGACAGAAATACAACCTAGACGTCACGATGCCGTCTCACGAGTGGAAGAATATGGCGATCGTGTTTGTGATCGTGGTGGTGCTGATTGTCATTATAGCGTTCTGGATGAGCAGTAACAATAACAGCGGAGGCGGCGGTAACAGCTTCGGTAACAGTGGTAACGGCAGTAGCAGTGGTCAGAACGGGAGTTTCGGTAGTTCCAGCAGTGGCGGTGGCGGAACGGGTGGTGGCTCGAACAATGGAAATCGCGGCAATAACTCACCACCTCCCGGTGGAAACACTGGCGCGGTGGTAACGCGGCCGCCGCCGCTACCGCACCGTACTCCTACTGATTGTCTCGATCGAAAAATTCGTTAAATTTTTTGCTCATTGCATCCTTGCTCTTTTTCCTCGTAGTCAACAAATTGCGATCCGGACGAGGCGACTAACGGCGGAACGGGCAGATCGAGCGGAGGTAGCGATAATGGTGTGAGAGATCGACATCACTTGACTACAGAGAACAATAGATCGTAAAACGATGCGACACTTTGTTGTGATGGTTACCAGCAGGGCCACCTTCCCCCTATTGTGACGATTAGTAAGAGGCTTTTTTCCCCGCTACGAGTTGTGCCATTGAGTGCTTTTCTACGGTAACCAAAAAAAACAATTACACGGGACAATGGCGAGCGCGAACGACAGCGCGAGCGTTTGCAAGTGCGTTTCGAATATAGACCAAGAACGATCGGCGAATTCAATGTCCAGAAGCGAGTGTCTCGAATTTAACGTTCTAATGTACGATCGCACATTCGTGCACTGCGGCCTTCTACCGTCGAGGAGAACCGTTACATAATTGCAAAACACGCTCGACGTGCGTTCGACGCTTCCCTTCACGAGCGTCAAACGAGTCGCGAGCCCGTGAGCGCGACCAATCGAGTCAATTGTTAACAGTAATAACGTCCCCCCGTAAGTGGGGGAAACAATACGTGGAAAAACATTAAATTGACCAAATAAAATACGTTTAGCACACTCCACTATTGTGCAAAATTGTGCACGTGGAAGGTGGTAAAATGTATATAACGGAGGGGTTCCGTCGCCGCGGGCCAAGTAACTATTGTACAGTACGATAGTACGGAGCAGCCAGAGGTACAATAGGACCAGGAACCGCCAGTGCTCCGTACTGGCTTCACTGGTCATACGGGGGGACGTATTTGTACATTGCTCGGACTTCGATCGTTCGACGCGACGATCTTGCTCGACTTCACGCTCGATGCTCCGACGCCCCGATTCACTGCTCGATGCTTTGAAGACGTTGCGCGCAAAATTGCTACATATTACATTTTGTTCTACTGCCGATGCGCTGCTACCTTTGATACCATTTATCGATTTTTTTGGGACAGAATTGACAGCATCGCGTAGGTAAACGATGAGGGAAATTGAAAGGGAAAACAATATACGTATAATATTTGGTATAATATAATAGGCTTTCTTTATTGACAACAGAACTGTTTCAACCAAGTCTTTATAGTGCCGAGGTGGTTCTGCAGTAGGAACAGTATTTGCCGTGTCGAAGCGAACATTCTCGGTGATTTGTTGCGAAGCGATCGAAACATATCGTCGACGTAGCTCGGCATTCAAATTCGTATATCCCAGTTCAGAACCGACAGTACGCCACATCCTCGTTCAACCAAGCGATAATAACCATCGCCTTGGTTGCGACTTCAACACGGTTAAAACTATTGTTTCTGCGGACACTGATGGCGCAGATAGCGATCACTGAGCAATGCATGCACCTGATCGTACGATATGTTTGCCGTCGGAGATCCCATCGTAGTCGTGACAACGCTACACTTATCCAGCAAATTCTCGTTCTGTCTGATCGGCGATATTCATGCTCCATGTATTAGAACTCGCGAACAGAAATGCGGGACGACTGGATTGATTTCGTACGTAACACGGTAGCCTCCTTTACCGTTGAAAAGTTCCTTGCGGATCCGAAGGATGTAACCTCTACACATCTACAAACACAGGCATTTCGTCGATCTACGGACGGAAAAAAATAAAAAACTTGTTTACTGATTGTGTAAAAAAAAAAGCAAATCAATAGCTCCCGCTGTACAGAAGGCCGATTCGATTGACCATTGTTGTTCGTTTTGCTCGGTTTTATCGTTCATATGATGCTGCTACTTTGTGCTACTTTGTGCTTCGTTTATTCGTTCGGTCAAAGTGCTCGAAATTCGGTCACTTTTCGTGCCGGTTACATAGTTTTAGACCGACCGATCGTACCGCTTTCGTGCCGAGCGAAAACAGATAAAGAAACATATCGTTGTTCTTTGGCATCGCTCGCTTTTTGACAATCTTTCACTGAGTTTTTTTTTCCGCACTCACACCAAATGACCGACTTTCATCGCGCGCGTAATCAACCGTTTCACGCAATCAGATTACTTGCGATCGCGCACTAATGTGATGTGCGCATGGATGGACGCCTCTTTCTCATTCTTAGCGGCGAAGCCACGCCGGCTTGTGAAGTCGTTGGGCATTTTCGCTTGAGCATTCATGCGAACATGATGGCGGCGCGGAAATCTGTCGCGAGATGAAATTTTGCATCAACTGCCTTGATGCGGCGCGCGAAGCTGTTCGATCTACTGGACGACAACATGCACGCCACCGACACGTTCACTTTGTCAGAGTGCGCGATCTCGAACGCGTTCATTGCGCGCGATTTTCTGCAACGCGAACCGACGTGTACGCCGGATACGTTTCGACAATGTCGTTCGTACCGTTAGATGCAGCGGCACCGTGTTTATTGTCGCCCGTTGCTCGACTCCACCGCCGCCACCACGAAACGACGATCGGTCAGAGATCGATGAACTCACGTTGCGCCTCGATATCGTACGACAGTTCGAGCTGTATGGTTCGCGTTAACGAAACGCTCGGTCGAGAACCGGTGTTGCCGCGATCCGCGTTGAACGTTCGATTTTCAGCCGGGTCAGCACGGCGGATAGCGTAGGCGCGTTGGATCAGACGCTCGCCGAGTAATCGCAACATAGGCCGAATGCATCATCGCCGCCGCAGAAGACCACTCGTACGCGAGAACATTGCTCGAGACCGTACAGAGCGAATCTAGCGAAATTAATCGCAAGACGGTCCATCGTTTCTCGTATCTCAGGCGTACGCCGCTTACGCTCCTATAGTGTACCGTTTACGATGATCATGGAGCGATAGCTTCAGCGGGACACACCTCGGACATGCGCGCGACACCAATAATCCGAATGTTACGCATTGGAGAGCGGCGGACGATGAGAGAATTCAACTGGCTGCGTGCTACCGGTACGTGTCTGTTTGGCAAAGCGCCACCGTCTCGAGCGCTATGGATCGTGTTGCAACGTTGACAGGGCACTGACGTTCAACGATTAAAATCGGATAACGCATCGTAATGCTCGCTTTGCTCGAGAAATTTATCGTTTCTCGTATGCGTGCGCCGAGATGCTCGGGGCATATGGCGCGAGAACCATTGGCGATCGATACTTGTTCGCGAGATTCGCGATCGCTGTCGTACGCGAAATTGCGCGATTGCCCATTCGATCTGGCTGCCTGCTGCAAACTGCCACAACAAGTGCACAGAATTCCGACGAAAATCCGTCGGTGCTAGAAGCAACGGTGTGACTGTCTAGGTGGACCTTGCCATTGTGTGCCTGGCATTACCGAGATTGTTGCGCGGTATCGCCTGTATAGCGACGAGGGACGGTTCGATCGGCGCAAATTTTTCGTCTGATGTGTGCCGGCCTTGGCAAGACGCATCGCACGAGCAACAGCAGCACACACGACGTCGCGGTGGCGACAGAGAACTTCACAAAAATTCCGAACGACGTTCTGTTGAACCGACGCTTGACAGCTGACAATCCATCATCGATGCAGAGCGCAGTCAAAACAAAAAGATAGATTCTGGTTCTCGCTGACACTCGACGCGTTGCGCGGACTACTCACGGCGACGCGCTAATGGCGGTAGACTCTGCTACGATATCCGATCCATCGAGACCGTGCAATGTGTTTGCTCGGTATGGTGCAACGTGGACGATTCGCAACGCACAAATCATCGTGGATTTTGCGGTCATGTGACGCGGCGAGAGTTAACGTAACCGTGATTGATATCGTGACATTTCGCAAACTTTTTTTCGACGACCAATCGTCCGACTCGTACCGCGTTTACGAGCACGTCACGTAACGTGATTGTGTTTTTTTGTTACAAATGAACAAGAGAAAACGCTTCAACCACAGCGAGAACGCCGGTCGGAGCGCGGCATGCACAGTTGAATTCTCGCGTTCGCAATCGCTGTGCGGTCGATTCTTCGCTCTCGATAATCACGTATATGTACTCGCCCGCAGACATGCGCCGGGTGATCGCCACCGATCTATGATTCTCACGACGAGGACCGCACGAGATCGCTTACGGCGCATTGTTTGACGATTATCAGTATTTTTGAATTTTCAGAGAGCTCGAATGGTTGTAAAACACACCACGGGCTGCGTTACGCACGCGGAGATGAGACAATTGCGTTGCGAAACGACGAAGCAGCCAGCGTTTCGGTATCTGCACGATACGACAGAGATCTGTTACGTCGTACTGATTGCGCCAAAGGAAGCGGGGAGGAGATTGACTAGGTTTGCCAAAATAAAGAAAAGAGGCGAAATTAATCACAGTATTAAAACATTTCTTTTATTGCTACATCCCTCTCTAGACATCAATCCCGACGAAAATGTTAGCGACAATGTAGCGCGAGCTTAAAATGTACTATTTCTCAGGATTTCGTACTTTACATGACGCCTGATTGCAACCAGCGCTAAAACACCCCAGCCCGGATCGTTAGCTCTATGTTGGGGGTCGAACAAGTCGAGCGCTTTCTCTCTCAACGTCAGACTGCGATGACGTCACCAGTTTCGAAGTCGAGCTATTCGAGTGAAAGATTCGCCAGCGAGACGTTTCAATGCGGTCGCAGACGATCCACCACGTTTACGTATTGATTGTACTCGCGCGAGAACGAATATTCCATACCGCGACAGGTCAATCGTTCCGGCATCTCGAGCATATTGTCCCGTGAAATGACGTACGCGTGTCGATTGGCATCTTCGGCGGAGAGCGCATAGTAGATGCAACCATTTTCCAGAAACTCGAATATCGCATCACCTCTTGCGATTCGTTGAGAAACGCGTCCAATTGCATAGGATTGCACAGTAGACGAGTGTGCAACGCTTGATCGTCAAAATCGGCGTAAGCGTAAATGGAAGCGCGAGTGCCCGCGGGGACTCGGCGCACGGTACCTTTGTCGAAAGCTGCTGTGTGAAAGGTAGCCGTACGGTCGGTACGATTATCGATCGTCACGTGCAAAAACGCACGATTATGATTGCATTCGAGCATCATCCATTCCTCGATCAACAAGACCGCGGAACATTTCGTAACGTTGTACCAACAAACCTACCGATTTGGTGGCCATAACAGTGCCACTAGCGCAACGGATACAGCATCATGAGATCGCCAC